CTGCATGAAGGTCTACGCAAAAGGCCTGGAGGAAATCTGAATCACTTTATAACATTTACAGGTCAACTTTTATAGTGGAACCTCTCAAATCATCAAAATGAGACATGGCTTGGGGGTGTCTGCAACCCAATTACCAAAAAAGTGTTTTTGTTTTTTTTTTTGTGTTTTTTAGGCCAAATATCAAATGAAAAAAGTCTTAAGAGCTCAAGGAGATGACATCTCTTTTTCAATGCAAATCTTCAGGTTGAAAAACCAAGTGTCACCATTATTAATCAACTTACAAATATAAATCAGTTTTCTCCGATATTAACATAAAAACTTCCAAAAAGTAAAATAAACAAACATCTACATCGGGGTGAGCAAAGGTTCTGTCCGATATGCAGTGGGTACGGGGCTGCCCGTTTCGCCTTCCAATTAATAAGGAGGGGGTACGAAAATGAATACAAAGAACACAAAAAAGCACCCTGGTCTTCATGAGCGTTTGAGCCTCTTGGAATGTCGCTGGACGCCCGAGTCCTCGTCACTGCTGGCCTCCTTGTCACCAGTCACACCTCGTACAGTCCGCCTCAATCCAGTTCTCCTGCTGTCCCTCTCATTGTCGCTGTCCTGCTCCCGATAATCTTTGCGATTTGTCCGCTTGCTCTTCCTTCTCACAGACTCGTCCTCCTCCACATCTTCTTCACTTTCACTGTCAGCTTGGTTCCGTTGTCCACCGCGCGGTCTGGTCTGTCTGGCTCTCCCTTGCTTCCCATTTTGTATCTTCCTCCTGCCCTCCTCCTCCTCCTCCTCCTCCTCCTCGTCGTCATCCTCTTCGGAGTGAGCGGCCTGGCGTTTGAGCGTTCTGCGTCGCAGGTAGCCGATCCCAGGGAGGCTCTTCTGCACTAGCTCGATAAATGCCTGCTCTGTGCGTGCCATGCAGGTCAGGACGTTGCTGTTGGGCTGGTTGTATTCTTCTGCGTTTGAGAAGATGAGCTTCACGTCCTCAAGGAAATCGCTGGCGCTCTGGTACTGGGAGGATTTGAACTTGTCCTGCATGGTGGTGAAGTCCATCGGGCAGCTGATGATGTCCCCATAATCCTCGGCCTCTTCAGCAGATACGGGTTCCCTGGATGAGAAGAAGAGAATGTGTTATGTCTTGACTACTTTCAATAATCTCCTCAGTTAAACTGCTTCACTTATTTATATGCATCATTTAACCGTATTAATGATACACTAATCACCAAATAGTAATTAGGCTCGTCACTACATCAAACTATTATAAGTTGAAGAACACCCTGACAGGTTTCATAATTCTCCATATCACCAAATAACAAACTAACACGAATTCATGAATTAATAATGAAAAACACTGAAACACTAAGAATTAATAAAGTAAACACTTAAAATCTAAACATCTTTTTAAATTAAATGTTATGAGACTAATTGTGATATTTGTAAATTACAAGTGACAAAATCAATCATGAGGTCTTGTGAGAGTGTACCTGAAGGGCCAGCTGTGTCTGTATTTCATCAGCTTCTGAAGGATCTCCTCACATTTCTCCAGCTCAATAGTTTGTTTCTTCGATACAGGCTTGGAGCTCTGTCGGACCTGCACACGATTAACAACACTTAAGAAACACTTGTATATGGTGCCTAATGGTGACAATACAAACTATTCCCTTTACTCTTTTTTTCATTTACATGTTGTTGTTTTTTTTGCTTCAGCACACCGTGAAACGCTTGTTAATAAACGAACTGTTCTTTTTCTGAACAAACTGTTCTTTTTCAACAGTAATTTTTAATTATTCTGCTGAACCTATTTGCAAAATCAAGAATTTGAGCATCCAACATTTATCAAAATGTATACAACACTTCAATATTAAACTAAAATATTTACTGCAAATAGTAAAATGCTGTGTATGAGAAAGGCATTAAACACACCACACTTTCACATATCTTGTTTTACTCACCAGCTCATCGATGTCTGCAGGGTTGCTTGGTCCAGGTCGTGATTTAGGTGATTGTTTGGGAGCAGGTTTAGGATCAATTTTGGATGCAGGTTTAGGATCCGGCTTGGAAGCAGGTTTAGGGTCTGGGTTGGAAGCAGGTTTGGGAGCAGGTCTAAGATCTGGTCTGGAAGCAGATCTGAGAGAAGGTTTTGGATCTGGTCTGGACGCAGATCTGAGTGCAGGTTTTGGATCTGGCTTGGAAGCAGGTCTGAGAGCTGGTTTGGCACTAGAAGGCGAATGCTTCTTCTGTGGTGGTTTACTCTGCACTTTGGGCTTCAAAGACGACTTCACCTTCTTCCTAGGTCTCACTGAGACAACCAAACAAACAGTTAAACCTAAAGTTCGTGCCTAAACTTATAAGACAGTTTCAAGTCCTTAAGCACATCATGATGATACAGTACATTTGATAAACAAGGCAGTTGATCTCACTTTTCTCCCAAAATATTCTTGTGTAGGAAAAAAACAAAACAAACAAATAATAATGATGATGATAATAATAATCCCCCCCACCCCAAATGAAAACAGTTTTCAAAGCTCTCAGAGTGGCACTCACAGCTGTGGCCCGTGTCCCTGTATTCTTCTTCTGATTCTTCCTCTTCAGAGTCTTCAGAGTCTTCCTCCTCTGAATCCTCCTCTTCCTCAGTGTCCTCATTATAATTTCTGCAAACAGAAATGTGTAAATTAATTCTGAGGAACTTTGACCATATAAAACTACAAAAAAAAACTTAAAATTAAGCAAACCCTGAACGACTAGGCCTTATTTATAGCAGTAACGCTGGAAAAAACATATTATGAGCACCGAACAATGTGTAAATGGTGCTTAAAACATCCAAATGTTTTGTTTTCTTTTAGGCAAACTTGATGACATTGCATCTATATGTAATAATATTTAACAAGTTTATCTTCACAGAATTAGGTAATCTTATTGAGGTTAAACTTTAGCTTAGCTGTCCGCAATGAAGGGGGTATTAGCCTATTATGAGCACCAGTAGTATCTGCAAGCCTAACGCTTTCATTGAGTAATCTTTAGGCATGTGGCTAATTAGTCTCCATTGCATTTATACAATATACTGCGGCCAGACCTAAGAAGGGAGTCCTAAGATCCCACAACATTCCTGTACACATAATTCACACAAAGTAGTACATGGGCTGGGATTATGCTAATTGTAAATAAGCATGCACACGCCCTATTTACAAATTACTGGAATTCATTAACATACACACAAATGACAAAAGTTTAATGAAAGAGGCCCAGTGTCTGCATGTTCTTACCTGCCCCTTGAGCTGCGTCGGGCGATGGTTGGCTGACAGGCTGGGCAGAGCCACTCACCCGCCGGTATACGGTATAGTGCCGGCCGCAGACAGAACAGATGGAAGGCTTTATTGCACTCATCACACAGAATCAACTTATCATCCTCTCCTACAGAGAAAGACAATCATAAACCACAGTGTCCTCATTATAATTTCTGCAAACAGAAATGTGTAAATTAATTCTGAGGAACTTTGACCATATAAAACTACAAAAAAAAACTTAAAATTAAGCAAACCCTGAACGACTAGGCCTTATTTATAGCAGTAACGCTGGAAAAAACATATTATGAGCACCGAACAATGTGTAAATGGTGCTTAAAACATCCAAATGTTTTGTTTTCTTTTAGGCAAACTTGATGACATTGCATCTATATGTAATAATATTTAACAAGTTTATCTTCACAGAATTAGGTAATCTTATTGAGGTTAAACTTTAGCTTAGCTGTCCGCAATGAAGGGGGTATTAGCCTATTATGAGCACCAGTAGTATCTGCAAGCCTAACGCTTTCATTGAGTAATCTTTAGGCATGTGGCTAATTAGTCTCCATTGCATTTATACAATATACTGCGGCCAGACCTAAGAAGGGAGTCCTAAGATCCCACAACATTCCTGTACACATAATTCACACAAAGTAGTACATGGGCTGGGATTATGCTAATTGTAAATAAGCATGCACACGCCCTATTTACAAATTACTGGAATTCATTAACATACACACAAATGACAAAAGTTTAATGAAAGAGGCCCAGTGTCTGCATGTTCTTACCTGCCCCTTGAGCTGCGTCGGGCGATGGTTGGCTGACAGGCTGGGCAGAGCCACTCACCCGCCGGTATACGGTATAGTGCCGGCCGCAGACAGAACAGATGGAAGGCTTTATTGCACTCATCACACAGAATCAACTTATCATCCTCTCCTACAGAGAAAGACAATCATAAACCAGATCAATTACATGTTAAATCTTCCTGTTACCACGCAGTACTTCCTCTTGCGTGCCGCTCACATTACAGCAACAGGTGCCGTTTAGATCTCAGACATTCTCTCTTTGATGGTCATTCAGTCCCTTGTGCATTTCACTTTATATTTCATACTCTAAAGGTGTAAAGTAACTACTCTCTTCGGTCTGAGTCTGAAGATCTTTTGGTTCACATACAGTAGTTTTTCCCACGTTTTCAAGAGACTATGGTGGGTGGACCTTGAAATGAATTTTTGCACATTTTCAAGTTGAATGTATCAATTGAGAGACTGAGAAGTGTATATTTTTGTTAAAAACCATGGAAGGCCACTGCAGTCTAGGTAATTAATGTGAAACACTGAACGTGACCATACAAAAGTCAGAACACACTGGAAATTTGACCATATATAGACCAATATAAACTGTGCCAACATGCGACTTCATAAACCTAAAATTAATTAAAAAAAAAAAAAAGTTTGATTAACTTGTTCAATGCTTTTTAAAAAGCATTGCAGGATGCAACTAATAAAGTGGGTTGAGTGAATGTCCAGAGTGCACAGGGTTGGAATCTAGACAAAGGGTGGCAACTCTGAAAATGAATAAATATACATTTTTTGGTCACTACATAATTCTCATGTTGCAATGTGTCATTTCATAGTTTTGATGATTTTATCAGGGCTCTACAGTGCATTTGTGACTGAAAACTACTGTGTGCGACTATGAAAAACTATTTAGGAGCACCAGTGCGACTGACCCGATCAGCATATGCGTTTGTGCTCAGGGAAGCATCAAAGGTTTCTACTTTACAAAGTGTTTTTGCAGCGTTGAGTAATGCATCACAGACATATCTCTT